TAACATTTTTCTTGTTTTTAACATGTTGGAAGAAGCTTTTTTTTATTTTTTTACTTTTGTAAAAGTAAAAAAAAAAAAAATCCCTTTCGCTAAATGTACACGTTTAAACCAAGAGGTTATTAGCTGTTCTGCCTATAGCGTTAGGATAGAGGAATTTCAGGGAATAAGTGAGTATGAGCACAAATGTTTATAGTAGTGCAAAGGTTAAAAAAAAGTAAATCAAAGAAATGGTATTTCTTTAGTGAAACAATGCTGGAGTTTCATATGATTGTGGGAAGTTTTAGCATATCATGTTAATAAAATAAGATATATTTAACTGTCCTTCGCTGAATAACTGACAACTGGATGGATTCACACAATCCAGTTTTGAGGATAAAACCCCACAGGTTACAGCATTATACATGAAACCACTCACTATATGTTATTTAAAAACGATTAATGTCAAATCTGACGTGGCATCAACATTTTCAGCCCTATTGCCAAAAAATCCTCATAAAGGATTCTATCATTTTGATTCCTAAAAAAATGTTTCTAAATTGTGGAAGGCTGTCCTAAACAAACTATCTCTAATGAGATCTTTATAGCTATTTATTTCTCCCATCGGATACACTAGATCATCTGGGAAAACACTTTCATTAAAAGGACCCAGTGAATATCATTTTGAAGAAGTTTTAAGGATCCCAGTTTCCATAGAAATGTGACTGGTTAATAAAAAGAAAACTAGAATAATTAAATCCATAGAAAGAACTTATAATTGAGCTCTAATCAAACACTGATATCAGGGATTACCAAAAAAAAAAAAAAACCTAACTCAGTTGATTCTAGTTCAGAAATGTATACAATCCAACAGTTAAAGACAACAAAGAATGGATCAAGAGATTCCCAGTCTGCAGACATCAGATCCATTCAAACTTTGGATCAAGAGATTCCCAATCTGGAGACATCAGATCCCTTCAAACGGCCTCTCTTTTCGCGACTCAAAAAGCATCAAAAATAATATTCTGAAAATGGACAAAAAACCATTGAGACTCATTTGTTGATTTAAGAACCAGATGCCAGATGTTCCCCAATGGAACTCAATCATCATCAGGCATCAGATGGAGGCTTTTAAAGAAGGCTCCTTCTACAATTATCAAGGCTGATTATCACAGCAATCAATCAATTAAATTCTTGACCCATTCAGACCTGAGAGTGGGCCAACTTAAAACCTGGAGTAGCCAAGGAAGATAAAAACAAAATCACACACACACAAAAGTCAAGCAGCAGGAATAGCACAATCAAGCAACATTCCCAATCTAAATGGATTTCCCAATTTGAATCAAAGTCTTCTTGGTGGACTTGAAACCCCTCCCCCACTAGATCAATTTGGGGTAGAGAAACAAACCCCCAAAACAGCCCAGCCTGACAAAACAATGCTTCAGATCACCTGCACCCCCCAACAATATACATTCAGGGTCCACTACTCCCAAGCGTCGGTTCACCCCACATTCTCTTGAGAAATGACCCACCGTCCAGAGTGATGGAGGGGGTGGCGGTCTGCATGTACGACCCACCTTTACCTTTCCCTTTTCCCGTGGGGGCAGCGCTGCCCCCGCTGCTGCCCGTTCCGCCGACGGCCGCCACACAGGACGCCTGGGGATCCTTCCTCAGCCTCTTGCTCTGCGGCCGGACGCTGGACCGGAGGAAGTGATGCTGGTCGTGGCCGGGGGCTGTCGGTGGTGGTGGTGGTGGCGGCGGTCCCGAGGAGGAGGAGGAAACCGGAGGCGACGCTGGGACTCCCGAGGAGGGACCCCCGTTCGCCTCTCCTCCTCGAGGGGTCCCCTCCTCCTCGGCTTTCTTCTGCCCTCCGTCTCCCCCACATCCTCCTCCTTCGGGCCACCCCTCTTCCTCGCCGGCCGCTCCTCGCTTGCCCAGCTTCCTCAGGCCTTCCTCGGGGGCTCCAACGCTGCTGCTGTGGTCACCCAGCTTGACTGTCATCCTGGGGGGGGGGGAGAGAAAAACCAAGAGGAGGAAGAAGAGGGTGAGGCTGGCAGGCCCAAAACAACCCCGGGGGCCTGGCAGCCGAGGGTCCTTTCCAACCTCCCTCCCCCAAAACCCCACGGGGGTCTCCCTCCCTCACATGGCCCAGGGCTCCCCGGACGGGCCCGCCTTTCTTCCCACCACCACCACCACCACCACCCCAATCGCGGGGAGAAGTTTCGCCGCAGACATTCCGCTCAACATGGCCGCCGTTGTTTGCCTCTCCATTCCCCATCGCCTCGTCCCGAGCCGGAGCGCGCGGGCCGGGAAGGGTCCGCGCGGGCTCCCCCAACCCCCGGGGCAGCCTCGAACGGGACACCCCCCCCGTCTCCGCCTCACCCTTCACGGCCGGCCGCCCCCACCACCCCGCGGAGGGACCCCCGGAGCGGCTGCCCCGAGCCCGGGAAAGCGGCCCAAGTGGGGGAAGTGGCTGGAGAGGAGGAGGAGGAGGAGGAGAGGGCGCGCGCGCGGGTGGGACCCCCCCCTCTCCTCCCCAGGCGACCCCCCGTCCTACCCATGGTGCGGGTCTGCCGGGCCGGGGGGGCTCTTCCTTCTCCTCACCATGGAGCCGAGGCGAGGCGGGCTCCCGAAGGGGGGGCATTCATGATCCTCGCTGCAGCAACCCAAGCAGCCGTTTTTCTCCTCCTCCTCTCTTTGCCAGCGAGGGTGTGTGCGCCTGCCTTGCGCCTCTGGGTGTGTGTGTGTGTGTGTGTGTGTGTGTGAGTGTGCGTTGCGTGTGTCTCCCCCCCACTTCTTCTCTTTCTCTCCCCGGAAAAGTGCAAAGATTCCCAACTCTTCCCCCCCCACCTCTCTTCGTCTGCTTTTGCAGGTTTTCCCCCCCAAAAGAAGGAAGCCCCCTTCTTTCCTTTTGGGGAAGGGAAAAAAGCCACGCGCAACTCCCCCCCTTTTTTGTTTTTGCAAAGGGAGGGAGGCGAACAAAAGCCTGGGGGTGGGAGGGAGGTAGGTTTGGGGGGTGGGGTGCAGGAGGGCCAGCCCCCCCACCCTCCCCGCCCCATCACGGCGTCTGCCTCCCACCCTGTTTAATGAACTTAACTTACTCTTGCGATTGGGAAGCCGGAGAGAAGCTTTATGGGTTGGGGGTGGTGGTGGGGTTACTGGGAAGGGGGAGGCTAGATAACTTAGTGGGTTAGGGGAGTTTAGATTTGTTTAATTTTTAATATATATTTTTTGCAGAGGAGGTGGATGTAATACTTTCCCTTCCCTTCCCCTCCTCTATTGGGAATAAATGGCCGCCCAACGTTTAGATGCCAGGATCCCTTCTTGTGCCATCTTTTCAAAGCAAGGGGCCATTCCCTTGCTAGGGTTTTCATAAAAGGGGTAACTCATTCTTATCGTGACTTTTTTTTTGGGGGGGGTAAACAATTATATCCCTGGGTGATTGCTTTTTTTTTAAATGCAGGAAGCCTGCAAACTGATATTAACCACATCAATTAATCACCCCCTCCTTTTTAAAACAAAAATGCATGCAGAGGACAACACTGGAAAAGATGCAAAGCAAAATATCTTTCAACTTCTATCGCAGTTCATACGTTTAGAAATATACTCGGAACAATTAAGCACTCTTCAGGCTATATTGAGAATTAAAGTATTCCTTATTTACCACCAAGCAGAGACATAGGGATATTTCCGATTAGAAATTACAAAACACCCATCAGCAAAGAGGCTGCAGAACAACAGAAGTAGAAAGTTGTTTTTAGCCAAAAGATTCAGCGCCTCCAAAGAATATTATAACCGTTCAAGAAAACACTGCGTACACATTTTCCTTTCTTACGCTTCACTTGGGAGCACTTGAATACAGAATATTCTATTTTATGCCCGTTTTCAACACTGAATCTACCAAGATGGAAGCTCCATAATTTTATTGGAACCAAATGTCCAAAAAGCAAAGAGCCTTTAAGATTCACATTCTTGGTGCACGTTTAATTCATTGGGGGGGGGGGGGGGGACGGACAGACTTCAGTTCATTTCAGCCTTGAAATACTTTCAAAAATGGCCGCAACGAAAACCATCCAGCATTGATAAATCAAGAGATCTGGCAGAACTGGCTACCTGGGTTTCACAGAAGAGCAGAAGAAACAAATCCATGGGCCATAAAGCAAAGCTAATCTGAAACAATCACGTATGTTCGATTTGATATTGCCATTCATATATCTTAGGGGAATGAATGATGCAGCAAAGGCAGAAAACAGCCCAGATGGGGAAGTAGCATTGTCAGCAGACTGGGAGCAACTGACCCGTTTGAACACGCCCAACTGCACAATAATAAAACATAATTGAATTTTATCTAATTCTTTCCCTTCCTCCTCCCCCCTGGCTGCCAGATTTCCATTTCTTCCTGCATCCTCCGCACTCACACACACCCCCAATTGCACCGACACCTCTGCTCTGCCCTATCTATCTATCTATCTATCTATCTATCTATCTATCTATCTATCTATCTATCTATCTATCTATC